CCCTTTAGACAACAGCAGCTGGCCTTCACTTTGGTCCTTTGGCAAATACAGCATTGTGTCCTGTAACCGACTTGATTCTACTTGATCGTGTGGACTAGACGACGCCGACGATAGGGAAATGAATGGATTGACAGGAAACAGGCCCAGAAAAAGGCGGAGCAATAGAAAATACGGATATAACAGCATAATGATACCCACTTAGATATTGATCATATCATTACTCTGATTATCATTAGCAATAAGATTGCCTATAAAACATGTACACTCGCAGACAAACAGAGATCATCGTTTCAGAGGGTTGCTGATATGTATAACATATAATAGTAGCACCAACTGATGCTAAGTCACTGAAGGTGACCAGATGGTTTCGTAACCATCCCCTTCGCGTTAACGTATGTACAAACAGAAACACATATAGTGTCCCTCTACGGAATAACAACACGAACTGCTCTTTCGGGCGTACAACTAATAACAGATGCCCATAGACGCTAATAATCTATTCATATATCGGTTCTTTTTTGCTTATACGGAAAACAGTAAACGGTAAGAGAAGCGCGTCACAATAGCAATATCATATAAATGTGTGGAGACCATCATTTTCTCCCTTATCGTCATTGCCGTCGTGATAATGAACGTGTATGTATGATAATCATGGTCATAACAAAAACATATTTACCATGTGTTTTTATAATACTATAAGAAGAATACTACATAGCCATGACGTTATAGCGTTGCGGTCCTGGATCGGCTGGGTTTGTCCTAGGCGATTTGAGGTGATTAGAAATCGTTTACGTTGATCGATGCGCGATGCCCTATGCTAACATTACTATCTGGAGGCGTTCACGCATTGAACGTCTACTTGTTAGTACAATTCTGTTTAGTTTGATCTTTGGCGCGCATCCACCCGCAGCGGCGTCAATAGCACAAAGAGTGACCCCAGCGTGTGCTAAATATGCTAAAACGGTGTGTCCTATTTAGTATTTTTCTACTAGTTTCAAACTTTTCCTTAGGCTGCTAATTTTCTTTTCAGTAACCCCGCTGCGGCCGCACTCGTAGGTCGCAGCTTAAGCGTAGCAGTCAATGATCGTTGGTGTTTCGTTCACGAAGAAATTATAGACAGACACCATAATGAAATAGACGTAAAACGAAAGACGATTGCAGCTTTTTAATTTACTTTGAAAGTAATTCCAATGGCTACGGGTGTGGTTATTATGTGTCGAATATTCCCTTACGGTAATTGTGCTGATAACGATGCTAACGGCAGGATAAGATCAAATCAACGGATGGCGTCGACTTTGAAGCGTTCAGCCAATTTGTGGATCAGGACAACGAAAGGACGCTGCTGCGAAAAACACTGTATAGACGAAATGAGTTTAATGAGTGAGAAGGACAAAAAGCTGGTCTAAAGTCTGAATGGATATAGATAAGGCCACGATAATTCGATAAATGAGAGCGCGAAGCCTTCCAATTAGGTATTTATTTAGTTGCAAATTTCATTGAAAGAGAACACGTATGCTATTGGTGTAGCCTGGTGATGCGTGAGCATCTACAAACGGAGGACACATCTGGCCGTTTCCGATTTGTAAAATAATATTGAATTCAGCTACGGCTTACATCTGTATCTAATTACTTGTGCGACCATAAATCGATGTTATATTTTTCATTCATCCGCCATCGAACCAAAAACGTTTATCCGCCTAGAGCGGGAATAAACCCAACCCGCTTTTGTGTATAAGTGTATACACCCATCTATCTCATTGGGCAAGCCCGCTTCGCCTAGCCTTCTATCCATCAAAAACATGGGAACATTTAGGGGCATATTCATTTTAGCTTCATCATTTTTTTTTGCCTTGTGCCGTCATCTAGACTGTAACATCATTCGAATGACGGCATCAGCGCCAGCTCAGACAAACCGGGCAACCTACTATTTTAGAACGCACAGTGTCGTACACATAGGGACATTCATGGAGGCTTCGAACAAATGGCGACGTTAGCAGAAAAATAGTTTGATTCTTTTCGCTACACAAATGTCCCAACACGAACACAAAGGGCAGATAGACTTCGGTCTCGACAGAGCGTCAACAGAATCTGACGACACGAATCAGAAGTAATAGTTTCCCCGGTTTACATAATCTACATTTTCACCGCTTACTTGCGCTCGAGATGTAATCGTATCCGTCAAATAACTATCGTTTTAAATCCGCCCTTCACCTCGTACCGTATAATGGTACCGCGTTGCTTCTGTTCTGGCTTTCTCGTTAAGAAGGATTTCTCTATCTCCTACATGTATGTATGACCGTAAGGAAACTGACTCAAAGAGCGAGCGGAGCACCGGAGAAAGACCAATGTCGATTTGCAAGAAATCTGCCTGAAGTTGGTAGGAAAACAGGCTACGGGTTAGCTCTGTACACCAATTAAGACACGAACAATGTAAGAGCTAACAACCCATAATTAGTTGGCGACGGGATGCCGCCAGCTCCGTGATGCTCCAGCTAGAATGCGACCTACTAGGCCTAATGCAACAGCCTCAACAGCATAGCGGACGCTTCTGTTCAAGCTACTTTAGCCTGTTCTCAATATGTCGTAGGTGCATACGACGAAAGACCAGACAAAAAAATCCAAATAAAAAACCTTTTCTTGATTTTCGCCACCGTTTTAACTCTCGGTATGTTGTAGTAGTGGTTGATTCGATTCGTGGATCTATCCGGTAGCCAGAAACTATTACGTTCCGGCGCTATGCGATATGCGATAGCATTGACGAAGGCCGTGGCTGAAGCTGCCAGCCACATAGAGCCTGCCTCAAAAAGGTGTTGGCTGTGTGCGGCTCATAATGGCGATGCTGTTGGCGCTCGCTTAACGTCTTTGTCCGCCTGGTCTGTGAGAGGAGGCGGTGGCTCTGCGCAACAATTAAAATATGGACTCCGGTCAAATCGCTTAGGCACCGTCGTTCGGGGCGGGCACTTTGCTTCTCTGGCTGTTTATCCTTCTCTAGCTCCTCTATTCTCTTTCCGCTTTTCTCACCTTTTCTGTTCAACACGATGCTGGCCATAAGCAGAGGAAAACCTCCGCCGTTGATCTGAGTGGCTGGCGTTTTTCCGTGGCATCCGGACGAACGAAGGAACGAACGAGCAAGCGAGCGCGATCGACCTCTCACAGAGGCCCGCTTAAGGCAAATGCGATGAGGCGCTTTCCCTGTTGACGCTGTCGCCACAGCCACCTTTGTGGCCCCCTCCGATTCATTTTTATGAACTTAAGCGACCCATCAGCATCATCCATAAACGAATGAGGAGATGGCGCACGATGTAACAAGGATACAGAGAGATTAGCTACATTTTTTCGTTGGTTAGCATCGTCGACTCAATGGCGACAGCACGACCATTACATGTGTCGTATACCCTCTCCAGAGTGTAGCTACGCGTTTTATTCATCTACACATTATGGCGCAGTTGGAACAAAATATACATCGAGGTCAGGGCTGGGAAAAATCACGAAACGACCCGAACCCGAATGATTCTCTTGAGTAGAGCCATGGTGGGTCGAAGCAAATGAAGATCGACCTCTTGCGCCGCCGTTGGAAGATCAGCTAACGGCCGAACTGAAAGCTTCACGAAACCTATAATTAGAAAGGCCGTATTACGCAGCCAGCCCTTGTGAACGTATTTATTTATGTACGACGTATCATTCAAACGTATAAAGTGGATCATGTAGCGTAAAACACAGGACAATGAAATGCGTTCTGGTGAGTACCAATGGCACCGACAGCAATCGTCGCCGTTGCGAAGTTTAGGGATTGGATCCTGCTAGCATCCTGACGCCGATAGGTCCAGTCCATTGGTTGGATAGTAGTTCAGGGTGTAAGCTGATAGATAGACTCGTCTTCGCGGCCATTGTGAATACCGTTTGGAGACGGAAAATCGGACATGAATGCCGTAACAGCTGGTTTGTATTCGTAGCTAGCAGCACTGGCCATGATGCAGCAAACATCGCTTACGTACCTCTTAAGTTCGTTTTCTATTCGTTTCCCGCCAATACATCGGAATGAAAGGTGTGTAACGATACACAATCGAAATGCACGAACGTTTACATAATCTAAATAGCACGAAGAGCAGAATATTGGTAACGAGAATCGTCTGATGAATCTGTGGTATCGTAGGACAGGGGTTAAAACCAACAACAACTGGCAGTTCGTATTGTTTCAAGCTTCCTAGAAACGTTGAGTAGACGAATTTTCTATGGCTTGCCTTTTAGCGGCATTGGGTCGATGTGAAGATATTGCTCGGGAGCAGCGCTACCAGCATCAACCAACTAAATGACAGCAACAGACCCAGTTTTGTTTGGTCCTAGTTTTCTCTTTGTAAAACAATTTGGCATGCTGGGAGCTTTGAATGCTACGAAACTACGTCTCTGAACGGTAATCTCCTAATTAATTACTCCACACAGCGTGTTCATGCAGTAGAATTAAAAGATGATGATTTCAGATATGGCTAAGCTGCAGGGACTGTTTTTAACGTCTATCAAATATAAGATCGCAATTACAAACCAACTTGGATACAATAGAAAAAAAATTAAATATATCCTAACTTGGTCTATTGATGTTTTTTTTCACTGGCCGACATTTTTATATTGAGCTCACCATCTAAGTTCACTCAATAGTAGATCTGAGTATGATAAAACATCCTGCGCATATCATAGTTTTTTTTTGTTTATTTCATTTCTTTTCATTTAAGAAGGATATAGTGCATATATTGTGACAATTTCTTAATATAATACTCTAATAAACTGCAAGGACAATTGAACGCGCCTCATCATAATCGTCCGATCATAAAATCCCCTAAAATAGAGCTATAAAAAACCCATCAATCATCAGACATCGAATTAGAGTAAACGGCCTATCTACGGCCAACCGTGCAAGCCTAATAACATTTTAAGCATTCATTCGTGTGCGTCGTTGCCGGCCCCGTTCGCTCATTTCGATTGTTTCTGTTCTCTTCGCATTACAGGCGTCAGACAGCGGAGGAACGTGAAGCTGAGCGCCAGGCAGCGAACCGGCTAATGATGTCGCTGCAGGCTGAAGTTGTGCAAAAGTCGATGCAGTTCGCACAGGCAACAAGCGGTCATCAGGGAGCCGCGCTCGCGGCGGTCGCTGCAGCCAATGCCGGACCACAGGACCCCCGCGAAGCGCTGCAGTGTCTCAGCAGCGCCAGTCTTCACGCGCTTCAATCGCTCCAGCCATGGGCAGCGGAAGCTGCGGCGTTAAGCGCCGCCCAACAGGCCGCTGCCCTTCAAGCAGCTGCGGCAGCGCAACAGGTCGGCTCGCAGTCGACAAGTGCACCACCTCCAACGGCACCTCACTTTCTTACAACCCCTCTCTGTTGAGAAAGGAAGAAAGTTGCAGAATCTTAGCCCTGTTAATTCCTTCCCCTTCTTCAACTCTCAAGTCGCTCCGACAACCTAAAAAAAAAACTCTGACGAGAACATTAGCGGCGGCTAGAAAAGAACACGATGTGTTCGCTAGAAACTCCGACACATATCAGTATATGTATATTGATTTAGATAATTCATGTCATTGGATTTAGCAAAAAAAAAAACACGAAATCAATATAGAAAACGGAGATCGAAGTTGCGAATGACAAAAGATAAATGAAGTACTAAGAAGAAAAGCACGCATACCTCCGAGACTACTTGGATGGGTCGAAATTGAAGAAGAATGGCTGAGTACTAGGTCTCGAGGGCAAGCCGTAGTTAGCGTAGAACGACGACACGTCTTCGATTCTATCTGTTGAAAAACGAGACAAACAATTTTTACTGGGCAAATATGGCGAAGATAATCATTATTTCAATGCATAATAAGCAAGCGTTCTAACATTGTCAGCTCAAATAGATGCATAAATCCATTCGATGTGTGCTGTCACACATCTAACCTGCCCTAGTTGTCCTTAGGTAGAAACAATCTTGCTTAGTCCGTCTTCGAAAAAAACGTGTGACGAAAAATACGCAGGGAACAATTCACGCATTCACTTTGCATTGGGAACACAATTAGAAAGATTATAGACATACATATAATCAGGCATGTGGGCTTATCGGCGTCGTCGTCGTCGTCGTTTGTTTTGTGCAAAAAGCAAAACACACACACACAGGAGTAAACACAAACAAATCCGAGATTATCCGTGATCTACAGAATATAGTTGTGTATTTACGCAGATGTAACAATGTGTAGTATAAAAATAATCGACCTGTTAATGTCGATGAAAATATCCAGTGCAGCGAATAGAAACCCAAAGTGGGAGGGGAGGGGAGGGGAGGGGGGTGATTACACTGAGTAGGGACGCACCTCCTCATCGAAGGCATGTCCAGAGCCTGGTAAAATCTAGCGGAACCCTGGGCGTCATTCATAGGGTGCTTTATTGGCGGGGGCGGGGGGAAGGGGTATGTGTATATAGATGTAGGAAATAGCAAGATCATTGTACTAGATTGCATTTATCACTAATACCATATTGATTCGGTATAGATCGGGGAGAGATAGGATCGAATATTTCTCTGTTCTGTAACGCTGACATTCATATATTCGTCTACTTGTAGAAAAAGTAGAGTGATTTCGTGCAGCATGGTATATTGTATACATTGCACGTAAAACAGTGTATCGGTATTTTTGCCGTGACAGAGACGCGGACCATGCTTGTATAGCACATGCTTGTATCAAGGGCAACGATTATCGATAATCAATATAATCCGTGTAATGAATAGCTATAGTATAATGTAGTTTGCGGTTTGATTGCGCTTGTAAGAAGCTTGAGAAGAAGCCAACATCAATGACTGTAGAAAAGAAGAGTTGATGCTCTTTCAGGGTGAGCGACTTTGCCCCCCCCCCCCCCCCGCACGTACTGCGGCAAACGGCAACACAAATAAGAAAATAAATATCAATAAAGAAAGCAATGAAGCACGTATGGTAATCAGAACCAGTAATTAACTGCAACTATCAGTGCAATTATGTCGCATTTTAATTTACATGCAATGTTTGCCCAATCAGGCAAACGTGCACATGAACAATCGGACGTGCCCTGAACGACGTGGGCATGTGTGCTGGCTTCACAAGCCGATGTATGTGGGTGAAGTCTTTTTCACTGATACAGTTAACTCACTCCAGACGCTTTCTCATAAGTATTGCATGTGAAGGTTTTTGGCAAATCGTAGATTTATGAACGTTTACACATGATCGTATGACATATATAATCTGAAGTCGATATTGTCGCCATGTATATAGAGACTGATAGGCAAGATCATGTGAAGGCTAAGAGGTAAACGTTTGAAGTTCATGTGTAAATAGTCGGATATCAGAATTGAACTAGCTGGGCTATATAGAAAATCTATTGAGAATAAAAACGAATACCGACACCAAAATAGATTACGAAGGTCTCCATTTATTTCTCGAAATCCCTGGCTGTGTGTCCATAGAAGATTTATTTAGTATCTAGTTTACATCACTTGGCAGGCTATTTAACGCCACAGAAACCACCGACAATTATTCATATATATATGTTTATATATATATGTATATATAAACACAATTTCCAGCATTGATTTTCAGCAATCAAACTGAGTCGGTGGATCGTGATTGATCAATATGAGTGTTCAGGTGTTCCCGATATAAATTAGAATTTTCACAAGATCAGGATATCCGATAAATATATATCGTCTCATTTATCACTCTATCTCTAACAGCGAAAGATGGCATTAAATCAAAAACTACAATGAGAAATTTAGAAAGGCAAATGAATACGGGTAAAGCTGACGGATAGAACCGGCAAATTTCAACATGTCTCATATAAAAAACAACTATATGCTATTTTTACTTCTTGTTTGTTTTCATTGCATTTGGTTCCTTCAGCAAAAATGGTCTTGTCTCTGACGATGACAGAATAGTTACGAAGGGACATAACGGCCTAGACAGGTACGGTTTGTATGTAAATACGGTAGGTGCAAAAGTGTGAAGCGAACGCCATAGGCTAGTACTTTAGGGTGATTATACAACTATTATATACTTGAATAAGTAGATTTGCTCTGACTATCGATGTTGATTGATGATACTAAAAAAGCGACTCGCAACAAATGAACGTGAAGATAACGCACTGATGATAATAATCCTTATCAACTGAAAATATCAATGATGATGATAATAAAAACGGTACTTATTAACATAGCTCGTATGTATGTGTGTGTGTGTGTGTTTGTGTGTGGCTACAAAGATGAGAGACTCTTGACGCGACTTCTCCTGCTGATGATGCAAACGTTGATGATAGTAAGAACAACAGTAGCAACAACGACTACGACAAGGATAGAACAACAAAATCTGAAACGTATTCTGACCTCAGCAGTGAGGTATACGATCAACTGTATCTGAAACCAGCAGGGCATTAGATACAGTTGATCGTTAGAGCCTACTATGCTACAAAGTTCCCATATTCTAAGTATTTTACCGAGCGGCGGCGGCGACATTATGAATCAAAAATATGTCCGATAGATATCCTTCAACACTGATGTCACTGAGCATCTGCGGATTGCGTTTTACCTACGTATTTAGAGGCCGCTGAAGTAAGTAGCGCGATGTAAAAATTCAGCTAGAATTTGCTGTTCAATATAGAAAAATACAAATGATATCGACTGTGTACGAACATCTAAAGCCGCCCTGAAACATCTGTATAATGTCGCTTAGTCATACGGCACAATACTGGCCAAACTGGAAAGAGCGTAGGCCCGTACGTGTGCAGCCAGAAGAAAAACAGAAAGGAAAAACAGCTACGCCCCTCTGACGACGTAGCTCGCAGGCCACCAAGATGCAGCCGATATTGCGGCCTATCGATAAGCGTGCAACGCAGCGATGAGAGCAAGCGACATCTGGTGACGATGGCGTGTAGAATAGGTAACATATCATAATGCGGAGGGTGACTATACACACGAGTAAAATACTAAAACTTCACGTGAAGTCGAATTGAGTCGGTGGCAAAGATTATTCATAATGATATAAGAAATAAAAGGAGATGAGGATAAATAAATGCAAGCGTGCAGAGAAATAAGTAAAATGCAGTGTTTTTTTTTTTTTTTTTTTATTCTATTATAGATAGTTATGACGTTAGTATCGCGCGTATCGTTTTTGTTTGGATGTTGCCTGTCATTGTGGATCTACTCGTATAGTCAACTAGTAATATCTCGTCGTGAGCAATGTAATGCATGAATTGGGGTCTTAAATTGAGACAGTTTATGATTGGTAACCATTGAATCGCAGATTGAAAAAAATCGATACCTAACATTCATTGAGACGCGCACACACTAGCCTATAGGCTATGTACAAAGTTATACATTTTAATGTAATTACGATGTCGTGAAATGGCCGTCAATTGCGTCAACTGTATCTCAGTAAACGAATGGGAACGTTTATCATAACGCAAAGTCTTAGCTTTTCTGTTAGAACTCGTCGTGGAGAATCAGATCACTGTACGTCTTAACAAACGTAGTTGAAGCGATGTCCCCGACAAGAAACCACGTGAAACATTAAAAATGTAACGGGCATCATTTGCCTTTAGGTGGGCAAGCATCAAGGTAAACAGAGCTCCGGCACGCAGTGACTAGATCGAACCTATCTACAGACACGGACGCTATATGTGAGCGTGAACATACACCAGGCGCATTGGAAATGGTACGTGTTTATCTAATGGTTTGCCACGACATTGACATCGTCCCATTTTTGCATAGCCATTAAGCTAAAGATGGGGCCAACAGAAAAACGAGAAGTAATCCTAAATAGAAAGCGGAAAGAAGGTGGAGAAGATGCCGGCTCCAAATTGAACTTTCTAAGATGTTCATGAGGGCTTTCCGGATGTCTGTTGTACGTGCTGTTCTAGCACACTTGCGCCTAAGGAAGCGATACGAGAGAATGCGTGGGTGGTGAGTGTCCGGATCAGGCCAACGTCGAGACGCCATCATAAAGATAACGAATAAACGTTCGGCTATAGTGATACAAGGACAGGCAGGATAATTGTTTATTACGTTATTATACGTTACATTCGAATTCATTGTGGGACCCATCTCGCGCGACTCGGTAAGCTGATTAAAAGCCTACGCTGAGAGGTAACGTAACCAGCAGAGGGTTTAGATTCTCGAAACTTCTACCGTAAAGACCATTTATTATAAACGAGACTGCATCCTGTCGATATTTTCCAGGAAGACTATATAAATTGTTTTTGTCTTGCCTCTACCTTAGAAGCTGCACGGATACACCCTGATCTTTTCCGGACCTATCTAACCGAATAAATGATTGTAGATCTTTCGAGTACCCTAAAATAGAATAGCTTGGGTTCTAAAACAAAACAAAACAAAACAAAAAAAATAGCGAGTTTGAAAGTCTTGAAATTGAGATGAATCTATATATATATTCGTTATTTGTAGCTAATAAAAACAGTCCTAAAATTTTAGGGGGCTAAAAATAGCGCCATATAAATTTCTTTTGCCGGTTTTTAATTACATTTTTGCAGTTCTTAGCACTGAAGCTTCGAGGAAATTCAAGTGTACACAAAATTGAGCCATTTATACAAAAAAAATACGCATACCATACGAAAACGTCCAAACGTTATATCGATTCGTGATTTTAACACGATAATACTGTGATAGCTCAAACTCGATAGTATAGTAACTTCCTTATCGTAACGGATCGGTAACGGACATTTTGCAATCGTAATCCCCTGCATCATTCATGCAGTAAGCCCACATCTACGATCCTCTCTATCAGTGTAGTTAACTATTTCCTTATTAACCTATAATATTGATACGCTGTCCACACATTGACAAGAGTTATAGAAAACGTACCATCAACAAACATGATATGTGCATTTTGCGGGGCTCGATCTAATCGGGGAAGAGAAACGCCCACCTCTTGGCAACATCAATAAGCGAACCAGCAAGTTTTTCGAGTACGGTCGCATACATACACTCCTATACCATATATCATACATGTATAGGGGTTTATGAAACAATTATGATTTTTAAAAAGTGACTCGACTCGGTGTTCCTTAGGTCGTTTTGGACTTGGCAAATTACCTTCGAAACTTTCATGGTACATGCCACTCGTGTCCTGCGTTGCCTCGACAGTCGAACCTTTGTAAAAATGCTATTTTTTCATCTATTTTGATCAGGACCGAATTTGTTTATCGTTACAGAGGAAAAAACGAACGCTTATCCACGATACATAACACTTGGCCACTATGAAA